AATAATGATGACTTGATCTTCTTTAGGAGTTTCATGAATCAGCAGCTAAAAACTATTGATTCTTCCATAAACGTGGCTTTCAACATTCTAAGTCTTGGAACACAAAAGGAGAGGGGCTATCTCTTGGGTTTTATCAACTACAATTGTCTACAATAGTGTTTATACAATATTTTGCCTTGAAAAATAAGGAAAACACTATTGGTACTCCCTGTCATTTCTTTACTGAAGAAACTGAATTCTAAGTCATTCCAGCTCTGCTAAGCCTAGATTGAAAATTCATATCATGTTTCAAATCATCATGCCTTCTCAGGTCAAGTGCAGCTTGCTGTCAAAGGTCAGTTGTACAATTTTATCCAGCTTTATTCCCACCTGGACTTCACTCCTACATCCTTTAGTGTAAACTGCATTACTTTGAAGTTGAAGGTTGCATTCAAGCAGGCAGAACAGCTCACTCCCACCCTGAGTTGGAACAGATAATGGATTCCACAGAGCAGGTGTCCAATTGGCCAAGGTCATCACACAATGAGTCAGTGTAAATATCCAAATTGCAGTTGTGGACAAATTCAGCATATGACAGGTTCGTTTGATGAGTGTCCTTTTGTCTAGCTGTCACAGTGGTTTGTGAACATGGAACAAATCAAATGAGAAAGCACGTGCCAGCTATAGAAGGTTATGCCTTTGTTAATCTTGTAGCACCCAGCAAGCTGGCATTACTTGGTACAAAACACACTGGTGTATCTGGATGATTTTAGTCTTCAGGAGCTATTAAAAAATAGAAAGTAGAAAGATGAAGTCAGTTTTCTCTTGATGTTTCCAAGGATGAATACTTGTGAAGGACAAGCAAGCAAGCTCTCCTTAGAAACAAGGGATCCAAAGAGCCTAGAAAGTCCTTTAGAGTTGCAAATGGAAGATCAGATCACAACTTTAAAGAAAAAAACAAGAAAATCAGAAGACACTGCTATTAGGAAAGAACAGGAGCAATAACAACTATATTACAAGTTTATGTTTCTCAAACAATGCCTAAAATTCAAAGAAATATGTGAAGTATGAATGATTAAGCTCAAACAAAATGGTTTTAGATTCCCATGATATTTTGATGTGTTATTGAGATGAAAGAATTTTAGAAAAATCTTTGAAGGAATTAGGTAAAGTGCACATACTAAAACTAAATTCTAGCAGTTTCTTTTCTGATTTTATAGGCTAATGTAATGTTAAATGCTTTGTTCAATATTAAGTAATTAGAAAGTAAATGATTGTAAATTTAAGTTACTTATGTTTCAATGTAGTAGATGGGCCAGCAAAGATTTTTGTAATTGATTATAATGAGAAAAAATATTATAATCCTTTAAGGATTTAGAACAGGGTGTACATATTAACACTGGTTTATACAATTTTATTATTTCACAAATGAGAAGGCTGAGGTTAGACATGTTTGAGAGTCCATCTTACCCCAGTCAGAATGGTTATCATCAAGAATACAAAAAGCAACAAAAGCTGAGGAGGATTGGGGGAAAAGGAACACTTATCATTGTTGATGGTTATGTAAATTAGTTCAGCTACTATGGAAATCAGTATGAAGGTTCTATGGAATCTAAAAATAGAACTATCATATGATCCAGCCATTACACTCAGGGGTATATATCCAAAGGAATCAAAGTCAGCACACAGTAGAGATAAATATCTGCAATATCCATGCTTATCATGGCACTATTCACAATAGCCACATTGTGGAATCAGCCTAGGTGCCCATAGTGGAGGACTGGATAAAGAAAATGTAGAATATATATACAATGGAGCTTGATTTAACCATAACAAAACAAAATCATGTTGTTTGCAGAAAAATGTTTGGAACTGGAGATCATCATGTTAAGCAAAATAAGCAAGATGCAGAAAGATGAGTGTTACATTTTTCTCTCATATGTAGAGAAAGAGAGAGAGAGAGAGCGAGAGAGACTAGAAGAGGGACTATTAGGGAATTGGAGGGACATCAGGGCAAAGGAGAAGGGGAGGATAAAGGAGGGTAATATGGGGGTGGGCACTTTCAAAATATATGTGTGTATGAGATCGTCACAATGGAACCTTCTACTCAATAATTAATAAGTGCTAATAATATTAACAATAAAAGAACACATTGGGAGGTTGAAGCTTGTTTCCAGGAGTTTGAGATCAGCCTAGCAACGTAACAGGATTTCATTTCAAACACAAACAAGCAAAGAAAGAAAGAGTATACAAAAAAAGTAATGTTATATCTTTAGAATGGAAGAGCCCAAATTGAAGGCCAGGTCTTTTGATTATTAACCCAGTTCTCATGTTACTTTGCCACAGTGCTTGTAGCATTCTGATATCAAAACAGGCTTCCAGAACAATGAGTCTAACAAGGCCTGCTAAGCTTGTTTTTTTTTTTACCAGGATAAGTACAGCAGTAACTATGTGGGAATGCTTGGCCTCTGTTTCAAGTCTAGGGTTATAGCCTCCTCCTCAATTTCAAGAGGTAAAGTTGGCCAAGAAATATGTTGTTTGAGTATCTACTATGTATCAGACATTGTACTAATTGCTAGGTACAGAGTGACAGATTCCTTGCCCTCAAGGGATTGTTGCACTGTTTGGGAGAGATAATCCACAAGCATTGAATAACTAACTAAATAAATCTTTAGGTGTTAGGAAGAAAATAATATCATAACTAGCATGATCAACTTAAAATGGAAACTCCTGTTTTTCAGATAGGCTGGTTGGTGGGTTCATTAAACAGGAAGATTGTTAAGTAGAAAAAACAATACCCCAAATAGTAGCTTGAAAACTGGAAATGGCAAATAATGAAGTGGACAATGAGCTAACATCATCAATATATGTTATTGTTGTGGGCCAGGTGACCCATCCAGTATTTTGAGTCTGGGCCAAGAAATGTGTACCTGTAGAAAAAGAGGGTCAAAAGCTTCTAGGCAAAGGGGTGAGCTTCCCTAAGAGAGATTAGAACTGTGGTGGTGTTGGTGCCATACCACCTCTTGACCCAGAAGTTATCCCATGTTGTCCTATTAAAAAATAAGAAGAAAAGAACCTAACAATTATCATGTTTCAAACATTCTTCTAAACTTTTTACATTAGTTAATTAGCTCACATATGAGGATTATCTCATAGATATTATTGTCTACTTTTTGCATATGAAGAAACTGAGGCATAGATGTCTTAAAGTAACTTCCCTGTGATAAGCTGAGTAATGCCTTCTCTGCTAAAGATGTCCACATCCTAATAATAAGAACCTGTGAATTTGTTATCTTACAGAGTAAAAGAGACTTTGCATATGTGATTCAGTTAAAGATTTTGAGATGGTGATACTGTCTTGAGTTATCTGGGTGGGTGTAATACAATCAAAAAGATGCATGAAAGAGTTAGAGAAGGAGATGGAAACAGAAGTTGGTATGATGTGGCCAGAAGCCAAGGAATTCAAGTAGCTTCTAGAACTTGGAAAAGGCAAGGAAATTAGAGTCTACCCAGAGCCTCCAGAAAGAAACGTCACTTCGATTTTAGTGCAGCAAAACTGATTTCAGATTTCTGGCTTCCAAAACTGTAACACGATAAATTTTTGTTGTGTTGCCTTAAGCAACTACATTTGTGGTAATTTTTTTATAGCAGCAATAGGAAAGTAATACATTGCCCAAGGCCACGGAGCTACAAAATAACAGGGCCAGGATCAAAACTGCAGCAAACTGGTGCCAGTGAGAGATTGAACCACTATGCCATAGGACCTCTCACAGGCAGAATAAATTTTTAAGTTGAAAGCAAAATGAGGGTCTCCTTCATTTTCCTCTTATGCTCATGGGCCCCAGAGAACCTAAAAAAGGAAAAAGAAAGAAAGAAAAAAAGAGGATCCTAAATGGACTAGTGTATGCTAATCCCCTTTCCTGCTCTACATCTTCAGTCCTGGATCCAAGACATCACTAACATAATTCCTTCATTTTAGAGAATAGGAATGTGAGGACCAAAGGATTGCGATATTGAACTTACAGGGCTGGTTGGTAAAACAATTAGCTAATTACACAAGGAGCATGCGGTGGTGAGAGGAGACTCACTGATCTCAGTGCTTGTGTGGAAGGACGGAATGTGGCAAATGAAGACCAGGAACCAGGCTTCCAGTTGCTTGTAGGTATCATTATTAGCTTAGGAAGGGTGGCAGCAGAAACAATTACACACTTACCAATATAATTCTTCCACAGGGATCAAAAGGTCTCACTGTAACAATTGTGTTTATTCCAAAGTTTCAGCTATTTTTACATCCTGGTCGCTTCCCCCCAGCTAACACAGCATCTAGGACACAGTGGGTGCTTATAAATATTGATTGAATTAAACAGAATATTTATGAAAGCACACTTCCGCCAGGGCTTTTCAAATGTTAAGGTGCACGTGAATCCCCTGGGGACATCGTTAAAATTCAGGCTAGAAGTTCTTCCTGGGCTTGAGATTGGGCATTTCTACTGAGTTCCCATAAAATGCTGATGCAGCTGGTCTATACTTTTCAAGGTCTCAGAAAATGAGCCCTCCCTATCGATATACAATATATAAGTCCCACAAAGTGTGATAATTTAATGAAAGTTTACAAAGACGGCACAGAAACAGAGTTTTCGCCTTTTAGGTATCCTGCTTCCCCCAATAAAGGGACCAAATTAGATGTCAGGGTTCAATGGAAAGAGTTGGAAAAGTGCCCCAACTCCCTGCTCTAGGCGCTGGGCTCCCTTCTTCCAAAGGCAGGGGACGAGGTAAAGGGAGGAAGGAGGGAAGTGTCCAGGAGCTCCCACGCAGCCGCTCCTCTCCAGTTTCCAGCTTCTAAGGAGTATTTGCCCTTTTGAACCTCCGAGGTCACGGGCGAACACATGGAAGCGCAACGCCGCGCCCCCCTCTGCGCCCTTGCCCAAGCGGAGGAGGCGGACGCGCTTGCGTGCGCGCTCAGTATAAATAAGTCTTAGGCTGCGGCCAGTGGGCAGAACTGGCTGCGGGAGCTGCGGGCCATGGCGGAGGAGGACCACCCGTGGCAGGGCAGCATCCTTTACAATATGCTGATGAGCGCAAAACAAACACATGCTGCTCGCGAGGAGCCCAAGGGGGCTCCGTGTTGGGGCTGCTCTTGCGGTGCCGACCCCCGCGTGGGTAGAGAGGGGCTGCCAGGCGGGCGGTCCGTGGCGCTCCTATACCGCTGCTGCTTTTGCGGTGAAAACCACCCGCGGCAGGGCAGCATCCTCTACAACATGCTCACTAGCGCCAAGCAAACGCACATGGCTCCCGAGGCACCCAAGGCGCGGCTGGGGGCTCCGTGCTGGGGCTGCTCCTGCGGTGCTGAGCCCCAGATGCGTGGAGAGGGTCCGCCTGGCGGGCGAACCGTGGCGCTTCTGTACCGCTGCTGCTTTTGTGGTGAAGACCACCCAAGGCAGGGCAGCATCTTATACAGCTTGCTCACGAGCGCCAAGCAAACGCACGTGGCCCCGGAAGCGCCCGAGGCACAGCCAGGAGGCGCATGGTGGCAACTCTCTTACTGTGCTCAGAGGCTGAGGGGTAGAGAGGGGCTGCCAGGCGGCCAGGCCATGACGCTTCTGTACCACAGCTACTTTTGCGGTGAAGACCACCGTCAGCAGGGCAACACCATCTACTGCATGCCTAGGAGCGCAAATCAAACCCAAGCGGCTCCAGAAGGGCGACTGGGGGCCCCCTGGTGGGACACCTCCTGTGGCGCGCAACGCCTGGTGACCCTCAAGAGTCCACAGATAGTCTGCGAGGCTGCCTCTGCTGGCCTGTTGAAGACGCTGCGCTTTGTGAAGTACTTGCCCTGCTTCCAGGTGCTGCCCCTGGATCAGCAGCTGGTGCTGGTGCGCAGCTGTTGGGCGCCCCTGCTCATGCTAGAGCTCGCCCAGGATGATTTACACTTCGAGACTGTGGAGATTTCAGAGCCCAGTATGCTGCAGAGGATCCTCACCACCAGGCGGCGGGAGACCGAGGGCCAGGAGCCACCGCCCCTATCCACACCGCAGCCACCTTTGGCATTGCCTCGAGAGGCTGGGCAGTTGCCCTCGGCCGCCGCGGTCCGAGCCATCAAGAGCTTCCTGGTCAAGTGCTGGAGCCTGAATATCAGTACCAAGGAGTATGCCTACCTCAAGGGGACTGTACTCTTTAACCCGGGTAAGAGTGCTAGCCTTGGGTGTGGGCTTTTCTCGCGTCAGAAAAGTTTTGGGCAGTGCCTCCAGGACCAGGCACTAAAACAGTTTTCGGTGATGGTGGGGGTGTCGGGGAACAGGTGAACAATCGCGACTAACTCTTGGGGGGCTGATTCTGGGAACCACTCCTAGTGGGTGAGCTGCTGCCGAAAACTCAGCAGGGAAGGGGGTGTTTCTTGATGTTTCTACTTGACTTTCTACGGTGCAGAAACGTTTCTGCCTTCATGGGCCATAGCCATTTCTTTTTCTCTAGCTTTCTTTAAAATTCATCTGCATAACTTTGAAGAAGTTTTTGCTCACTATGAATGTCTTCCTGAAACTCCATTCTTAAATTTACTAGAACCTTTTAGTTGGCGGAAATCTATTAAGTCTGTGAGGAAAGGAAGCGTGGAAAGAACCCCACACACCATCTCTTGGGGATGCTGTCAGGACACTGGACTTAGCGTTTCACGGATCTTCCTTTGGTCATTTGTATGGTCCTAAGCATCACAGACTCTCCCATCCTCCTTGTCTCTGTGAATACCAGGTTGGCAAAGTGCAGGAAAAAGTCACAGTAGAGAGGGAGGGGCAGCACTACTATATTTTAAAGTTTAAAGAAACCTTAGGGACCGCCTAATCAATCCTGCACCCTTCCCCCCACCCATTTTTACCAAGTGTCCCATCGAGTCCCAAATTCCTTTACAACAAAGTAAGTGGCTGATATATTATGGCACCTGAACGTCTTCTCTTCTGGGCCTAGTGAGATGTCAGCTGCACTACATTTTCAAGTTTTCTGTTGGGTGCTGGGCACGGCCCCCACGCAGTACAACTAAATCATAAGAGAACATCTGCAGCCTTCTACTACTACAAGAATCATCTTCAACTAGCATCTTTCTAGGAGAGTCACAAGTAGGGAGGAAGTTCCCAGGCAACTTGATTTTTTTTCCTTATGCTTCTTCTTTATCTTCCCTCCAGACACCAGGAGTCTCTATGTCCCTGCCCTCTGCCTAGCATTTTTTGAGGAGGTATAGAGCAGTATTTGTCAGGATAATAATTCATTCAGACCTTGGACCAAGAGTCCTTAGCTTACCCCAGTTAACTATTACAGTTCACCCTTTTACTTATTCGATTGTTTTCCAAATTTGCCTGTGCATAAGGAGAGCTTGTGTGGGGAGAGGGGCTTACAAGTCTTTCCAGTCTCCTCCCCCAGGAATTTTGATGCAATACCTCTGACCCAAGGTCTGCAAATCTGCCTTTATAATAAGTGTCCCAGGTAATTCTTGGAGTCCTCAGACAGTGTTATTAATCATGTGCTATGTTCTTTTGTCTATTGGGTTACAAAAGTGAGACAGCTTCTTAGCATCCATAAGTTTACACTTCAGATATTCTCCCTCTTCCCTTGATCCTGTTTTGCATAATTCTGTATGCAAACATCCCTCCTCCCTTATTCTTAAACTGTTTTTCCAAATCCTGTTAATATGAGTTCAACCCACTAAATTGGGTGTTTGAAATTAGAAATGCACTTACACTTGGGGAAAAGGTGCTGTCTTTAAGTATGTGGTCTTTGTTGTTGTTTATCCTTTTACATTCCCTTATCTTTATGTTTAAACCCATAAATATATATGCATATATATGCACACACATATACATATATGTACATGTTAAGCATATAGGTTTAAACCTAAAAACATGTATACATGGGTTTAAACATAAGGACATGAATAAAAAATAAAACATTATTATCATGGAGGAATAAAAGAAATTTTTTCCCATTAATACAAAGGGCTTTTTAAAGCAGCCTCCCCTTACCACCTTCTTTATAAAGCTACATGCATGTAATCTTTCCTGCATTGTATTTCATTCACTTTCACTTAAGTATAACACTGCACTGCAAGAAGGCCATGCACTTTTTATTTGAAAAGCTGCTTCTACACCATGTTGTAATCCATGATGTTTTCGTATTCACTTTTTGTCCTTTTAATGGCTGTTTAAGAGAATGCTTTTAAAACATCCTCTTATGTTAGTATTTTTTAAGGAGCCTTTTGGAACACTCATTAGAATCATGATATTTTAAACTTTTTCCCATACAGAAATCATGGTACTGTGAGCTAAGTGGTCAGCATTAGCTTTCAAATTATTATGGGCCTCTTGAATAATATTGGCCCATAGGGGAATAATTAAAATGAAACATATGAGTCACAGTTTGTAGCTGGACAATCAGTTTAATAGTGGGAAAATTTCAAGGAAGAATGGGAAAATTTCAAGGAAGAATAGCTAAATATTTGGCATCTGGCAACATTTCTTGTCCTTATACAATGACCTGTTTCTTACGGGTAAAAGGTAAAGTGCTGACCTCTTGAAATAGCATTCATTTCTTCATATTTGCTTAGAAAGTGAACTGAAGCAATGATTCATTCATCTAGATTCTTTTGTCATTAAATTAAGTGTGTCTTTGTTGACTCAGAGCTAGTGTTTTATAAATATGTATATAAAAACCTAATTACTATTAAATAAAATAATCACATGATACTTCATTCTTAGAAATGCTGCTTCTGAAAACTTAGAACTGCTTTGGCATTTTCTCTTTGTTCCAGAAAGCCCTTTTAATCAGGAAGCTTGAGCACTTGTTTAATGGGGAAGATACAAAAATGAATACATTTTAAAAGCTAGCAAGTCGCTATGGTGAGTGGTTTCTAACCAAGAGATTTTTCTCCCTCCAGATCTGCCAGGCTTGCAGTGCGTGAAGTACATTCAGGGCCTTCAGTGGAGAACTCAGCAGATCCTCAGCGAGCACATCAGGATGACACACAGAGGGTACCACACCAGATTCGCCGAACTGAATAGTGCCCTTTTCCTATTGAGATTCATCAATGCCAATGTCATTGTTGAGCTGTTCTTCAGGCCCATCATTGGCACAGTCAGCATGGATGATTTGATGCTGGAAATGCTCTGTGCAAAGTTGTGAAGGCATGTGAGCCCCCGCAAGCACATTTCACTGTGAAAGAAGTATAAAGAGCTAGCTGTAGGTAGAAGAGTGTGAAATGTTGTGAAAATAAACTTTCTGGTTATTTTTACATGCATAGTATATTTGTACTCAATTAAAGAAATACTTTAGTTACAATGTAAAAATCCTCTGTTCCATACTGTTTCTTGCGAAGGAAAACATTTGCTCACAGGTATCATACCTCTGTACAGCTTTAGCAAAAAAGCAGGGTACTATGCTAATAAGCTATTTTCACAAATATAACCTCTTTCTCCATTGAACTTGCTTAACTAAAATTTGTAATATTAAGTTTTAATAAAATGTAAGCTGTTAACCATTACTTGACTGAAAGAAGTTTCATTGGGATTTAACCTAACAATATAAGCAAAAGTGTGTTCATCAGTAACTTCATGACATTTAATGTTGCAACACACCAGTGTTGATGACAGATGGCTGTGCTCCATCTTCATTTTCCATTTCTGTCAGCTGTGTGGAAAACTGTCTTTGTACCCACTCAGAATCAAGTGGCAGTCAGTGTTCAGAAAGCGACCTGAAAGTGAAATAGAATTTCGCAGTTTTATTTTGGGATATTTATGTACATAATTACAGATTTTAGCTAAAGTTCCACAAGAAATTTACATTTTTATAAGGAGGGGTTATAGTTTCAGAAAGCTCAACATCACTATAAAACCCTAGTTAGATACCATTTTTTAAATTGTCACATTGAACAATCAGTATGAAATTATAAAATGACTTTATTACTGCCTCTTGCTTCCCTTTTAAATAAAATCTATAGAACTAGTTCTTCATTGTCCTGGGATAAAATTTAGGGCTATACATCAATTCACTTACAGGTAATAAATTGCCAGTTAGTAATTAGTAATTAGCAATGGTGAATCCTATGGATGACTTTCATGATCAGGCTCTGAAAATAATATAGCAAATAATATGCTTAGGATTACAAAGAAATGAATTATGTAAAATAATTAAAATGTTAAAATATTTAAAATTACATGGGGCATAGTAATATATGTACTTCTTTATCAACACGTGAAGTAAGATACTATCTGCTGGCAGGTTTAATATCTACCTTCCTTACAAAGCAGTGATCAATATAATTGAAATTTCAAGATACTTGCAACATCTGTAATGTGATAAGAAAATACCAGAGATTTCCAATGGTGGCTGTGTTGGGGAACCCCAATATTACCATCCCATTCAGAGATTTACTAGTTTCATGGAGCTCAGTATATGGTTGTGTTCTGGACTAAATTATTAATTACAGTGACATAGTAAAGATATTTAACTGATGCTAAGGGTAAGACATGGAGAATGTGGAGGAATGGGATTTGTGCAGGCTTCCTATGCTTTCTTCCTCCCATCAGGAGTCACACAGGGTATAATCTTCCCCAGCAATGAAAACTCAGCAATATTTCTGCCCAGAGCAAGCCTTTGAGATTCAGAGTTTAGAATTTTTATTGAGGCTGGTCACACAGGCATTCTCTACCTAACATGATCAAAACCACAAACATAGAAAGTAGGTGCTCAGCATGAGCCTCATTTGTTTTCACAAACAGTCTAGGCATAGTGAGTCACCCTTATGAGTCATGGCAGGGTAAGAACACTTCCTAAATCAAAGTTTCTACTAAAGACAGCAGTCTCAGGTCTGCTATGTTAAGTCTTTTTTTGCACAATCTACATTTTGACCTTTTGCCAAGGTGTCTTTACAGAAGAGTTATTATTGGTAGGACTAACATAGCAGGGTGAAACCAACCAGCAGTATTGATCTAAGTATCTTGGACTTAATCCTTGAAACAAATCCCATTAACCATAGGGCTGTCACAGGCAGCCAGGTAGTTTTCTCCATCAGTTCCTTAAGAAACTTTTTCACCTGGCTCCAGCACAACTCTAACTAGTAAGTTGAAGCTGACCTGAACAGCCTTCAGGACTTATATACAGTGTCCTGATATTCAGGGCACATATGAAGTACAATCTCTAAGGGCTCATGTGGTCCCCTGGAGACAAAGAGCTGGGGGTTTAAGGGCACCCCAAGCAGGAACAGGATATGCTTTGGTCAGATAGCCCCCACACATCCTAGGGTACTTGGTCAGTAGTAGTGATTCAGTATAGTCTGTGGTTCCAGAAGGACTGCCCAAGGCTATCTGTCTCCAACCGTTCTGTCAGTGACAGTAGTTCATCTTTTTTGATGAGTGTGGATGGCATCTGTGGGAACCATGCAGGAGCTGCACCCCTGTCATCTCAGAGTCATACTGACATGTGCCTTCTAGGTTCAGCCACTGCTTGCAAAGGCATTATGGTGAATTTTTCTTCCAGAAGAGAGGGAAGCTTCCAGAAATCGCTAAAATAATCATTAATGCCCTACTCTCTTCCTTGAGCCTCCCTCTGTGCCAGCTTTTTTTCTAATTGTTACAAAACCAGTGAGCCCCATTCAGCAATCCTAACTTTACAATTTTTCCTAATCATTTTTTTCACCCAGACTTTTTGTCTGCAAAGGTTGTGCACAAGAAAGACTAAAGTATTTTTCACCAAATATTTTAATGCAACTTAACCAGTAATACACATCATGTTCAGGAAATTGTCAGGGTAAATTCTGGATTTTTTGATATTTTTTTCAAAATGGGTTAACACACCCCTCCTCATACCAACTCCCTCTTCTTTAGGGGGGTACTGCGATTTGAACTCAGGACTTCATGTTTGCTGGCAGACACTCTATCACTTGAGCCACACTCTGGCCCTTTTTGCTCTGGTTATTTTGGAAACAGGATCTTACTATTTTGCCTAGGCCAACCTGGACCACAATCCTCCTATTTATACTTCCTTCACTAGCTAGGATAACAGACACACACCACAGCACTCAGCTATATGTGGAGATGGGGGTCTCGTAAACCATTTGCCCGGGAAGGCCTGGAATCCACCTAATCTCAGCCTCCAAGTAACTAGGATTCACAGGTATGAGTCAATGGTGCCTGACCTCCTCATACATTTTGTCTTGAACTTTTATCCAATAAGCAACCTACACAAGATTAATTCCATTCTATGGACATCTGCAGTGAGTGACCAAAGTGCCTTACTCTAAGGTGTGTACAACAGAAGAAAGGTGAGGGAAGTAGTGTCTGGCTATGAGTGTTGCAAATGGCAAGGGATCTGAAAAGTGAGACAGAAGGTAACAACAGTGAGAGTGAGGTAACCCTGCTGACCAGGGCGGACAGAGGGGTCGCACTCTAAGATCACAGGACACTGTCTGGCCACAGGACACTCTATGGTGTGTCCTGCCCCAAACGGCAGTTTTAAGCAAGAATCACAAATTAAGAATGCAATTAGGCTTTTATAGCAGAAATATAGATTCCATCAGCAGATCCATTTCAAATAGTCCCATAAGAGAACAAGTTCTTTCCCTACAGAATCCACAAGCAATCCAAATGGTCCAATCAGCATCCATAATGTTTTATGGCTTATGACCCCACAGAGGGGTGTCTTCAATTTGCAACACTCTGAAGATAGTTCTGTTCAGTGAGCCTGTGCCTGCTTTTGGTTTAGCAGGTCTCTGTTGAAATTGAACCAGCCCATAGCAGACAGTATTAAGTTTTGGCTTGCAGTAAGGTCCAGAAAATTAGGATCTGTGAATTCAGAGTTCCAAAAAAGCCAGAGGCTTTTCTTCAGCAGCAGCAAACACAATAGACAGACCCTTGGTGCCAAGTCCAAGTAAAAACAAGGTTTTCCTAAGCACTGTTTACCTGGTCAGCTCGGATTGCCCAAATTGACCCATGTAAAATATGCACATTAGCCAGAAAATCATTAGTCCCTAAGGGCAGAAATCTGATTTTACAGGAACTTATTAACAAAAACAAACAAATAAGCAACAAAAATCTCCCTCAAATCCCACTTTTTAAAACTCCAAAAGCGTATCTCCATCTGGAGATCAGCTCCCTTTTCCCAGAGGCTCCAACAGTCAAAAATATCATCATTTTCAGAGCCTTGATTCCAGTGCCAAGAATTTCAGTTGCAATCTGCCCACCTGTGGCCAAAGGCTGTATCCCATGAACACGTTTTTTGCAGCTTTCTGTGATTGAGATAAATAACCCCTCTAGCATTTATGAAATTATAAGCATATAATATTTTACATCAACTTTTGTCATACATCCAGATGCAATAGCCACAAACACAAAGCTGTGATTCAAAATTCCTTTTCTTTTCTCATTACAAGTTGACTCAAACCCCTAAGCAATACATTTGCCATTTACAGGGATCACATCACAGCTGGAGGAGAACCCAGCTGCAGTGAAAAGGAGGGGAAGGGAGGAAGCTGCAGCAGCAGCTAGGTTGAAGAAATAGCTGGAGTACAGTTTTCCTCCTTCCCTTTCCCTCTGTTTTAACTAATGCCTTGCTGAAGCTTTGGGAGCTGATTTTAGATTCTCTCCCTCATACATGAAGGAGAAAGCAATTGTAAAATGAATTTTATCATTTTTGGCTCATCCAAAGCCTATTGTGAGGAATGTTTTGGTCCTTTGTCCTAGGGGAGACATACAGAGATAGAGATTGAGAGACAGAGATGTGTATGTGTTGAGAGAGAGAGAGAGAGCAAAAAAAGTCATCATCTGCCTGGGTTGTGGTATTTTCCTCTCACTTTAGCAGAGCCACCTGTACATGGCCAAAACATCTTCGGGATCCAGAGAGCCAACTCTTCTGAGGATGAATCCATTCTTTTAAATTCCATAGGTAGCTTGTATCTCTGGCCATAGGCAGCAGTTCAGGTGCTGTTTCATACTATGATTAACTCCATAATCACCAACATACCAGGGTTTCATCATTCCTTGTACCACTCTCTCTTTCTACAAATAATACTGAAGCTATATTTTATTTTATTAATCTTTTTGGTGGGACTGGGTGTTGAACTCAGGTCTTTGAGCTTGCAAAGCAGGCACTCTACCACTTGAGCAACATCTCCAGTCCACTTTGCTCTG